GGTTTCTATTGGGAAAAACAAAACAAGTGGGAAAAAAATTTAAAGGGGTTTGGGCCAAAAAAGCAGACATTTTTTTTTTAACAAACGGAATTCCCGTTGGTAGAGATAATGCCCAAAAATTTTCCCAAAAAAATCCATCAGGCGTCAACTGACAGAAACCGAGGCCCAAAATTTAGGTTTAAAAAATGAAATTTTAAATGACAGCTTCTTCTTTTTTCCGGGTTTACCCCCTGTAAACTCTGGGGAAAAAATTCCCGATCATTAACCCCCCCCTTTGGGTGCAAGTCCCCGTTTTTAAACCCCCGTTTTTGCATGTGGGTGTCCCCTTTTTCAAAACTGGGGCTCATTTTTATGGACTGCTGGGTTTCCCTTTACCCCCTAAAGGGAGATGCACTTTCCCACTTTGAAGGAAGCCCCCAAATTTTGACTTTTTCAACAGGGTTTAAGATAGGTAGTGGGTTTTATTCCCTTTTTTTCCCCCCCAAAAAATTAAAGGGCCTCGATTATTTGATAGCCCTTTGGAAAACCAAACCCCGGGGAAACGAACGAACGGGGGGGGAAAGAGAGAGGAAAAAGGGGGAGAGGGGGAGAGAAGAGAAAAAGATAGAGAGAGGGGGAGGGGGAGAGATAAGGGGGGGGGGGGAAGGGGGGGAGGGGAGAGGGGGGGGGGGGGGAAAGGAGGGTAGTGAGGAAGGAAAGTAGGGGGAAGGGGGGAGGAGGGGGAAGAGGGGGAAGGGGGGGGGTTTTAAATTTGTTTGTTGTTATTTGAAAAAGAGAGAAAAGAAGAAAAATTTTTTTTTTGTGGGAAAAAAACCAGTTAGAAAGAAAAAATACACACAGATACAAGTTTAAAAAAGATAAAGCACAATGCAAGTTCAAAAAAAAATACAACCCGATAAAAAGGGCTATGGTTTTTTTCCCTAGTGTTTTAAATTTTCTTTCCCGGAAAAACCATCTTTAAAAATCCTGCAAATTTCCCCCCTTGAAATATCTTTCAATGCATTGATTTTTACTGTTGCAAAAAAATAGCTAAAAAGTCCCGAAATTAGGGATAGGGAAACCATTAGAAAACATGGTTTTCCCAAGCCAAAATGAAAAGCTAGCCCTTTCTGCGCCCCTTTACACCTAACATATCCCCACCCCCCCCCCCCCCCCCCCCCCCTCCCGTTGTATAGTAATCTCTATACTGGCCAATGGCTTTATTTTGTTACTGGGGAACAAGACATAAAAAAAGAACATCCCCCCCCCCCCCCCCCCCCCCCCCCCCCCCCCCCCCCCCCCCCCTTGGGGTTTACACGCTGCCACCATGGCTAGGTTTTTCAAACTCTACAACTGGGGAAACAAGACAGTAAAAGACAGGGTTCATACCAAATTACCAATCAAATTTAAGGGTTTTTAAGGTTTTTTTTTCAAAAGGGCTCCTTAGTTTTTTTCAAGGTTTTCTCGGGTAAAATGAAACAAGATTTTTTTGCCTATTTTTTTTTTTTTTTTCCCAAGGGGTACTGAGCACAAAAAAGGTACTTCTTTGTGGCCCCTTTTCTGTTTGGGATAACCCGCACAGATATCTCACATGTAGCATTTCCTTTGTCCTGGACAAAAAACCTCGGTCTCTCAACCAGCTCTCCCGCTTCTCCGTCCTCATGACTTTTTTATACTCAAGGAGTCACTTATATCCTGTGCCCAGCTTCGTGTTGGATCGGCCCCTGACTTGATATAGTGTTTGAAATTTTTTTTTAGGGCTTGGTGGTAGAGGGCAGCAAACTGAAGTCCTGTCTGTTCTGGTTACCTGTACCTGAGAGGGTTAGGGGAGAGAGAGAGAGTCATGATAGAGAGGCTAAGACACATGCTGAGGTAGGCTGGGAGAGACAGTGTAAAGATCGACAGATGAAGGTAGAGAAAAGAAGGAAAAGAAGTCTGGGGAAGGAGATAAAAAATGAGAGGGAGTGGATTGAGACATGATGAGGAAAGTGGGGAAGGGACTAGCGAAAGACAGAGAGGGAGACAAATATAGAAAGATGGAATGCATGAGTAAGAGATGGGCAGTGTGAAAGAGTAAGGAAAAAGGGAACGAAACAGAGATATGGAAGGAGGAAAACTATGAGCAAAGAGTTGAAAGAAGGGAGACACAGAGGGAGAGAGAAACGGACAGGGTGAGAAGCAGAATGCAAGCAGAGAGAGATGGTAGACATAAAGGAGAGAGACAAAGGGACAGCACAGAGAGGCAAGCAGACAGAGGGATGAGAACCAAAGAAAGAGAAAAAAGGCAGCCAGAGCAGGAGAATGGGAGGGGAGGTATACAAAGAGGAAGTGATGAAGGAGGCAAACAGACATAAAGCAAGAGAGAGAGAGAGAGAGAGAGAGAGAGGTGGGTAAGGAAGGCAGTGACAAACACAGATTAAGAGAGAGGGGCAGGAAGGGACACAAGATACATCAAAGAAAAAAAAACAGCCACCTACTCTTCCCCCAGCTCCCACACACACACAATTTTAAGTGTAGTGGACACAACCACTAGGAAAAGATAGTTATGGGGCAAAAAAAATATGTTAGATGAACCAGTAAACAAATGGGGGTGGGGGGGAGAGGAATAGAGAGGGGAGCGGGTAAGCAAATCTAGAGAAAATGAAAAGACAGGATGGAGAGGAGACAAAGAAGAGATGGGACAGGAGAAAAGGGCAGGAAAGGAAGAGAGGAAGAATGGAGAGAGAAAGGAGAATAGTAGAAGATCAAAGGAAAGAGAAGGGGTGAGAGAAGAAAGGTAAGACACGGTTGGGGGGGGGGGGGGGGGAGTGTGTGTGTGTAAGAACACTGAGTGCCAAAAATAGAATTAGGAAATCTCTAAGTGAGGCCACTTTTCCGGTTCCTAATAATAGCCAATAATCAGCTGCCCTCACACCTGAAACGACCATACAACGAAAGTAGCCAAAAACTAGCCAAAAATCGCCAAAAAAAAGCCAAATGGCTCCCCCAAAATTACCTGTGCTGAAAAACACAGGATTTCTGACGATTTCATTGCCGCGGTCAAAATTCACGGCTTTTCAAGGTCGGAATGTCTTTTATAAGCTAAAAAATCACGGTTCAAGGTCAACGAAAAAAATCCCGGTAATTTCCCGATCCACTACGAACCCTGATAAGAGAACATACTGACCCCCCGACTTGGCTTTAGCACTGCTGCTGTCACCACTGGCTAGTTTCTCAGCTCTACAACTGGTGAACAAGACAGTATAAGAGAACATACTGACCCCCCGACTTGGCTTTAGCACTGCTGCTGTCACCACTTGTTAGTTTCTAAGCTCTACAACTGGTGAACAAGACATACTAACCCCGACTTGGCTTTAGCACTGCTGCCACCACTGGCTAGTTTCTCAGCTCTACAACTGGTGAACAAGACAGTATAAGAGAACATACTGACCCCCCGACTTGGCTTTAGCATTGCTGCTGTCACCACTGGCTAGTTTCTCAGCTCTACAACTGGTGAACAAGACAGTATAAGAGAACATACTGACCCCCCGACTTGGCTTTAGCACTGCTGCTGTCACCACTTGTTAGTTTCTAAGCTCTACAACTGGTGAACAAGACATACTAACCCCGACTTGGCTTTAGCATTGCTGCTGTCACCACTTGTTAGTTTCTCAGCTCTACAACTGGTGAACAAGACAGTATAACAGAACATACTAACCCTGACTTGGATTTAGCACTGCTGCTGTCACCACTTGTTAGTTTCTAAGCTCTACAACTGGTGAACAAGACATACTAACCCCGACTTGGCTTTAGCATTGCTGCCACCACTGGCTAGTTTCTCAGCTCTACAACTGGTGAACAAGACATACTAACCCCGACTTGGCTTTAGCATTGCTGCCACCACTGGCTAGTTTCTCAGCTCTACAACTGGTGAACAAGACAGTATAACAGAACATACTAACCCTGACTTGGATTTAGCACTGCTGCCACCACTGGCTAGTTTCTCAGCTCTATAGTTCTCGTAGTGGGTCTCCTGGGTGACCTCTTGCAGGTCCTGCATGTGGGTGCTGAAACAGACCAACACAGGCTAGCAACCTTACACAATGGTTATACATAGAAAGGTTAAACAAATAAATCCTAACAAACTACAAAATCTATAACCTCAAAAAAAACCACACAAACCACTCAAAGATCCCCAAAAATCACTACTGATATCAACCACAACCACACACAACAACTTCCCCGTGTGGGTTCCGCTGCCCTATTATAGGGAAATCAAGAATAAACCCACTACCTGCCCAAAAGAATGTCGTAAGAGTTGACTAACTGAGAGCTTCCTTCTAAGTCTGAGTGCATCTGAGAGGCAAGGAACCAACAGTCTGCACACAAATGTGTTAGATCTGTCAAATGGATGCACACACAACACTCAGGTTTTAGAACAGGACTGCAGTCCAGAAGTGGACGGACAACCAGAACTTTCCACCAGTTTACAGCTGGTGTACGCAAAGAAGAAGAACAACAACAACTACATCAACCACAACTTACAACAACAATCAACATATATCAACCACCACCACCACAACTAACACCACAACATACATCAACCACAAATATCACCACAGCATACATCAGCCACCACTAGCACAACATATAACAACTTACATCAACATTGTCCTCAGTTTGATGAAGTCGCAATGATCTGGATTCTCCACTTCCACCACGCCCCAGGGGTACATTCGACCTCTGACTTTTCTACCTTTCACCTCAATGATTGTATTAGCCCCAATCACAGTAAATGGCACTGCATTCTGGTGAAACCATCATTTTTAAGACATTTTATACCTCATCAGAGAAAAACATGCAACATATTCCCCATTCTAATCTGCCTCCCCACCTAACTATTAAATATTCTGACCAATACTTTGTGCAGTCACTCAACTGTGGTATTATGTAAGCTTTGATAGCTTCTGTTGGGATATCATTTGAACCATTAACTTTCCTCATAAGTGAGCCTCACAATAACCCCCCTCCCCTCCCTGGAAAGTCTTCTGTATCCGCCCTTAAAAAGATGGTTGACACACTGTTTTATGGTTTACAGCTAGGCTGTGATATCAGGTATTTTGGCCTTACACGTCCAATTTCAGTTTACCCTAGACTAGTCACCTTTTACAACATGTGCCTTAGAAGGGGCAGGAGGCCCTATACCCCCCCCCCCCACCCCCGCATATATGGGACTCCAGAACCTCCACATGGGGGAGAGAATGTTATGAGGACACAGAAATGGGAGACATATACAACCAGCAAACTGGCTAGTAAAAGAGCCAGGGAAAGACAAGATGACCTGGCCACATGGCACAACCATGACAAGAACAAAGACCTGATCTGGGACTGATGATCATGTGAGATTGCTTACAAATTTCTGGTGTGGATACTGCGGTTTCATTTCAAATATTGGGGTGGGGATGGAGGGGGAGGCCAAGACCCACTGTCCTAGAACAAGCATGTTGTAAAAGGTGACATACTAGGAGCCTGCTAAAATCAAATGTGCTGGGCCAAAAGGTACAGTTATCACAGCCTGGCTGTAAACCACAACATAACATGCCAAAAACCCTTTAAAAGGTGATAGCAGTAGAAGAAGAAGAGAGCTTACCAATATGTCACATGATGATGATAGGAAAAAAATGTACTCTACCATGTACACTGCAAGAGAAACACAGGAGGGTTAGTAGAAGAAATGGTTGCCTCCTCCCATAGCTGCAACCGCCACCCCCACCAATCTACAAAGAAGAATATGACTGAATGATGCCCTGGTCAGCTCATCCCTTCATCACTGTGCAGCAATGCAGACGTTGTCAACATGCCACTGCAACGGTCGGTGAGGTGAAAAGAGCCTGCTGGTTACGTTAACTCTTTTGCCAAGAGAGGTAGAAAAACTGATGCTTCCTACTGGGTCCGATTCCCCTTAAATGCCATTTTTCTGACCTGTCAGTAGGGACCTGTTTACCAAAAGCAGAGTCAATGGTACTGGCTGCTTGGCTGAACATTCATTTAGGAGGCTAGGAGATGAATACATTAACTAATGATAGCACTAGGTGGGGGTCCCTTTAAGCATCAATGATAGAGGTTAAGGCATGAGTCACCCGATACACCTGGATAGTATTTTACACCTGGGGGACATTTACCATTTAATGCTTCACTACGTTCATCTTTAATTACGCCTGTCAAATTTTTTTTTTTTTAATTTACATAAAATATATTTTAAACAAATCGATTAGTGACGTGTGTAAAACTGCTCTTATCTTTCTTTTCACAGATTATTTTTCTGGAATTTTAACACATCATATAAATATAGTGCTGCTACTGGAGGCACCCACCTTCAACTGTTTGCACTGCTCCTTATAATCCTCATCTTCGTCCGAGTCACAGTCTGGTAGTGGGTAGATTCGAACCCCGACCTCGTCGATCTGGTCCAGAATCTGTAAAGAAACACCACATGCCAATAAAAAACACCACATAAGGATAAAAAAAAAAAAAAAAAAAACCGTCAACATCATAAGAGCTGTAACACTGTAAAAGCTGTGATTTCCCTGCCCCACTAAGGAACAATACTATCATCTGGAAAGACAAAAAGATGCCAACTCTACTGTTTAAACATCATACAAATTTTAAGACATAACATCACATTGAAATTAAATTTAAAAAACAAATAAGGTGCACAGCCTTGATGGGACATAGGAGCACAAACCACAGCATTTTGTTTTTTGCCTATTTAGTTTTACTAAGCAATTTTACATTTATTAGTTTACCACTGTCCTCTGAATGGTTGGCTCAATACCATTGTCGAAATCAATAGAGAGCAGACTGCTGTCAAAGTGCTTACAGCTGAATCAAACCACTTACCTTTTAAAGCCTAAGCCACATGGGCTGACCAGAAAAACAAACACCATCATGTCTAACTACCACACAAAGGTACACACAATGCACAATGATATAAATATCAAACAATGATACCACACTGATGATAACATGATACATGGCTTCTTGAACACAAAAATATATAACATTGCATTGTTACTGTCTGACACCAGCAGAAATGTGACATTACATTACATTGTTACTGCCCAACACTAATAGAAATGTGTAATAGATCATTGTTACTGTCCACCATTTGCAGAAATGTGTAACATTACACTGTTATTGCTCAACACTAGCAGAAATGTGTAACATTACATTGTTATTGCTCAACACTAGCAGAAAAGTGTCACATTACACTGTTATTGCTCAACACTAGCAGAAATGTGTAACATTACATTGTTATTGCTCAACACTAGCAGAAATGTGTAACATTACATTGTTATTGCTCAACACTAGCAGAAATGTGTAACATTACATTGTTATTGCTCAACACTAGCAGAAATGTGTAACATTACATTGTTATTGCTCAACACTAGCAGAAATGTGTAACATTACATTGTTATTGCTCAACACTAGCAGAAATGTGTAACATTACATTGTTATTGCTCAACACTAGCAGAAATGTGTAACATTACATTGTTATTTGCTCAAACACTAGCAGAAATGTGTAACATTACATTGTTATTGCTCAACACTAGCAGAAATGTGTAACATTACATTGTTATTGCTCAACACTAGCAGAAATGTGTAACATTACATTGTTATTGCTCAACACTAGCAGAAAAGTGTCACATTACACTGTTATTGCTCAACACTAGCAGAAATGTGTAACATTACATTGTTATTGCTCAACACTAGCAGAAATGTGTAACATTACATTGTTATTGCTCAACACTAGCAGAAAAGTGTCACATTACATTGTTATTGCTCAACACTAGCAGAAATGTGTAACATTACATTGTTATTGCCTCAACACTAGCAGAAATGTGTAACATTACATTGTTATTGCTCAACACTAGCAGAAAATGTGTAACATTACATTGTTATTGCTCAACACTAGCAGAAAATGTGTAACATTACATTGTTATTGCTCAACACTAGCAGAAATGTGTAATTACATTGTTTATTGCTCAAGAAACACTAGCAGACGAAATGTGTAACATTACATTGTTATTGCTCAACACTAGCAGAAATGTGTAACATTACATTGTTATTGCTCAACACTAGCAGAAAAGTGTCACATTACACTGTTATTGCTCACACTAGCAGAAATGTGTAACATTACATTGTTATTGCTCAACACTAGCAGAAAAGTGTAACATTACATTGTTTATTGCTCAACACTAGCAGATGTTGTGTAACATTACATTGTTATTGCTCAACACTTGCAGAAATGTGTAACATTACACTGTTATTGCTCACACTAGCAGAAATGTTGTACATTACATTGTTATTGCTCAACACTTGCAGAAATGTGTGTAACATTACACTGTTACTGCTCAACACTAGCAGAAATGTGTAACATTACATTGTTATTGCTCAACACTAGCAGAAAAGTGTAACATTACATTGTTATTGCTCAACACTAGCAGAAAAGTGTAACATTACTTTGTTTTTGCTCAACACTAGCAGAAAGGTGTAACATTACACTGTTACTGCTCAACACTAGCAGAAATGTGTAACATTACATTGTTATTGCTCAACACTAGCAGAAATGTGTAACATTACACTGTTACTGCTCAACACTAGCAGAAAAGTGTAACATTACACTGTTACTGCTCAACACTAGCAGAAAAGTGTAACATTACATTGTTATTGCTCAACACTAGCAGAAAGGTGTAACATTATATTGTTATTGCTCAACACTAGCAGAAAGGTGTAACATTACACTGTTACTGCTCAACACTAGCAGAAATGTGTAACATTAGATTATTACTGTCCAAGACTAGCAGAAATGTGTAACACTAGATTATTACTGTTCAAGACTAGCAGAAAGGTGTAAGATTACCTTTCGCTTCAGCGTGGTGACCTCAGGCTGTGTCAGCGTGTCTGCCTTGGCCACTACTGGAACTATGTTCACTTTATTGTGGACGGCCTTCATGAAGGCAATGTCTAGTGGTTTCAGTCTGCAAGAAAAACACAGCAATTTCAATGCAATGTCATGTTCATCTAGGTTTCTTGGGTTCATGGTAGATTTCTGGTGCTTATGTGTGGTTTCTTGTACTCCAGTTAAGTTTCTTTTGTTGATGTTGTTTCTTTTCTTTATATTAGGTTTGCTGTGTTCATGTCAGATTTCTCATATTCATGTTGAGTTTCTCTTTTTTATGTTAGGTTTGCTGTGTTCATGTCAGATTTCTCATATTCATGTTAAGTTTCTCTTTTTTATGTTAGGTTTGCTGTGTTCATGTCAGATTTCTCATATTCATGTTAAGTTTCTCTTTTTTATGTTAGGTTTGCTGTGTTCATGTCAGATTTTTCATATTCATGTTAAGTTTCTCTTCTTTATATAAGATTTGCTGTGTTCATGTCAGATTTCTCATATTCATGTTAAGTTTCTCTTCTTTATATAAGGTTTGCTGTGTTCATGTCAGATTTCTCATATTCATGTTAAGTTTCTCTTTTTTATGTTAGGGTTGCTCTGTTCATGTCAGATTTCTCATATTCATGTTAAGTTTCTCTTTTTTATGTTAGGTTTGCTGTGTTCATGTCAGATTTCTCATATTCATGTTAAGTTTCTCTTTTTTTATGTTAGGTTTGCTGTGTTCATGTCAGATTTCTCATATTCATGTTAAGTTTCTCTTTTTTATATAAGGTTTGCTGTGTTTATGTTAGATTTCTCATGTTCACATTAGGTTTCTCCTCTTTTAAGTTCCCATGTTCAGGTTAGGTTTCTTGTTCTCATGTTTGGCTTTTAAATTAGGTCTTTTGTGTTTGCATTAGGTATAATTTATGCAAAAGTCACCCATAAATTTCACATCTGAGAATAATTGACTGACCAGCAACGCACCTACCAATCATGGGAAAGTCCCCTGTAACTGATTCACACAGACATCATGACAAAAGACCCCTACAACTTACCAAGTAAAAAAAAAAGACCCATAAATAATGAAAACATCACTAATACCTCATCTATAAATCTCGGGGGGGGGGGGGGGGGGGGGGGGGGGGGATGACTAATAACTCCCTCATTAATAATTAAAAAGACTATAACTCACCCTAAATCATAAAAAAAAAATGTTTTAAAAATCACCAATAACTAGCCCATAAAACATGAAAAAAGTAGCAATAACTCGTTCCTCAAACATGAAAAAGCCACCAATAACTCATCCCTAAATCATGGAGGGAGGTGGGAGTCACCAATAACTCGACCATAGATCAGTTAAACAGCTCCTATCTCATCATGAAAAAGGTCACCCATAAATTATGACAAAAGTCACCTATAAATCACTGAAATACGTCACCTGTAATTGACAGGTGTCCAAAGAATCTCAGGCCAAGAGCAAACCCCCTATATGACACCATAACACAAGAGTTGAGTTGAGTCAAGGATTGACATCACAGCACTGGGAGCATTCCCATGCATGCTCCATCATAACACAAGAATGTTGTAGTAAGTGGAGCCTTTTCAGACCAGTGGTCAACTGGGAACCCGATTGTATTTTCTGATCAGTTCTTGGTGGGTCACAAGGTCACTGCCACACCAGCTGCCTTTATTTTCCTAGGACTTCAGTGGAACCCGTTTTAGGTTTGGTCAATACGGGAGCCAAAGTAAAAAAAATTGTTCAAAATCTATCCAGCGCAGATTCAACCCCAAACTCTCAGCTAGCATGTGAGTATCTAGCCACTCCTTACCACAGCTTCTATCAAAAGAATGTGAACTCTTTCAGCCTCAAGGAACACATCATACGTTTATATGTTCCTACGCTACGCAGAAGCCAAGTGAATGAAGATGTGTCCATGTTATGTCTCTCTTTACTACCCCTTGAGCCTCTGATGGTAGACCCCCTGGGACTAAAAGGGTTAAGAACCCTTCTCCACAACTTCAACATAGTACTGGACATATTTTTGTAATCAGCACTCTGTAGGTGATGGGGTCAACATCACGCCGGCCGCCTTTACTTCCCTGGTCTGGTACCCATTTAAGTTTGGGTCGACCTGGGAGCCTACGTCATTTTAGGATGGAAAAATAAAAAGCCCAGCTCCATAACACAAGAATGCAATACCCCTAAATAGCACCCCTTTATAAACTCACCCGTGCCCAGAAGGGTTGATGAAATAGAAGCAGCAATGCACTCGGTTGTCTATGATGTGTCTCCTATTCAACCCACTCTCGTCGTTGAGGTAGCGCTCAAACTGGTCATCAATGTACTGAATGATGGGCCTGAAACTGCAAGTTAGCGGAGCATGACAGCACTTGTCGGACTTGTATCAGTACTTATTGAAACAACTTTGCCCTTATAGCAACAATGTATCACTTATAGCAACAACTTATCACTTACGGCAACAACTTATCACTTACAGCAAAAACATATCACAGCAAAAACTTATCACACTTAACATCTAGTCATCACAACACATCACATATAACAGCTGCTCATCATAACAACTTATCACATATAACAGCTACTTATCACAACAACTTATCACACATAACAGCTACTTATCACAACAACTTATCACACATAACATCTAGTCATCACAACACATCACATATAACAGCTACTCATCACAACAACTTATCACATATAACAGCTATTTATCACAACAACTTATCACACATAACAGCTACTCACCACAACAACTTATCACACAGCTACTAATTACAACAAATTATCACATATATCAGCTGCTCATTACAACGCGTATCTTTTATAAGACACTGCAGAATAAACCTTAGCATTGTTAGGCTGTTTGCGATTTTACTAGGCAATTCAAGTTCAACAGGTGACCACTGCTCTCTGAATGGTCTGCTGTCAGTACATCATCTGTGGATACATCATCTGTGGATACATCATCTGTGGATACATCATCTGTGGATACATCATCTGTGGATACATCATCTGTGGATACATCATCTGTGGATACATCATCTGTGGATACATCATCTGTGGATACATCATCTGTGGATACATCATCTGTGGATACATCATCTGTGGATACATCATCTGTGGATACATCATCTGTGGATACATCATCTGTGGATACATCATCTGTGGATACATCATCTGTGGATACATCATCTGTGGATACATCATCTGTGGATACATCATCTGTGGATACATCATCTGTGGATACATCATCCTTGTAATCAACAATCCCTGTGTGGGTTCCAGGACCCCGTTGTGGGGAAAACATGAAGAGACCCCCCCCCCTCCCCCCCTCTCCTCCAACAAGCATGTCAAAGGAGTCGACTAATTGGGGGCATCCTTTAAAGTCAGAGTACATCTGCTTGAGAGCCAAGGAACCAACAGTCTGCATTCAAATAAGCCAGATGTGAGAAACGGATGTGAATGCAACCCTCAGGCTCTGGAACAAGCCTACAGTCTGGGGGTGGATGAACACCCATAACCCTCTGCTAGTTTCCAGCCAGCGAAGGAAAGACGAAAAATCATAACAGAGAGTAAGTAAACAAACAACAATAACAACAATCTGTGTGTAATCAACATACCAGTCTGTAGAGTTGAGAGAATCCCCGAACCCTGGGGTGTCTACAACAGTCAACCTAAGCTTAACTCCTCTCTCCTCAATCTCCACAGTCGAGGCATCAATCTTCACCGTCTGCTTAATCTTTTCTGGAAAGATAACAATAATTCAAAAAGTCGAATCAGTAAATTACACATATTCACAAACACATAAGGAAAAGTGAATGTTGCGGTTACAGTGCCTTTATCAACACATTACATAAATCAACAAAATTACACAGTCACTTCTCTGGGAGATCGACTACAGGATGATTTCAATTGAATAAATCAACAAAGAAACATCAATCTTCACCATGGGCTTGATCTTCCTCGTGAGATTACCCGCTGTCATCTTTCTGTCTTTCCAGATGATAGTGCTTTACTGTGCTAATAGGACCAGGCATGGAACTGACAACCCATGGCGATCCTGAGTATGACTAGAAAAACCCGTGTCAAGAAAAGTCTTCCACAATTACAGCAAGGGATTTCAGGACCACTGTTGCAATAATTTGTGTTTGGTGTGGTTCTTCTTAGAAGCTCAACTCTCATCCTTTCTGCAATCACTTCCTTCATTCTCATCCCCTTTCTGATGTGCCCCTCCACACAACATGGTCCTTAATGTTTTGTTCTATTGAATCCACCTCAATACATGTATCATTCATGTCCCGCTTGCACACATCCTTGTACCGCAACAGAGGTCAGCCCCAACATCTTCTACCCATATCTATAATTCCTGATAGGGGATCTCTTTTGGGAAATTAATTCAATCTTGTGAAATCAACCACAAGAGGATTTTCTTCATCTGAACAAATCAACCCAGAAACATCAATCCCCTCCATCCGCTCCATCTTCTCTGGGAGATCAATCACAAGATAACATCTTCATCTGAACAAATGAACACAGGAACATCAACCACAAGATAACATCTTCATCTGAACAAATGAACACAGGAACATCAATCTCCTCCACCCGCTCCATCTTCTCTGGGAGATCAACCACAAGATAACATCTTCATCTGAACAAATGAACACAGGAACATCAATCTCTTCCATCCGCTCCATCTTCTCTTGGAGATCAACCACAAGATAACATCTTCATCTGAACAAATGAACACAGGAACATCAATCTCCTCCAATCTTCTCTGGGAGATCAATCACAAGATAACATCTTCATCTGAACAAATGAACACAGGAACATCAATCTCTTCCATCCGCTCCATCTTCTCTTGGAGATCAACCACAAGATAACATCTTCATCTGAACAAATGAACACAGAAACATCAATCTCTTCCATCCGCTCCATCTTCTCTGGGAGATCAATCACAAGATAACATCTTCATCTGAACAAATGAACACAGGAACATCAATCTCTTCCATCCGCTCCATCTTCTCTTGGAGATCAACCACAAGATAACATCTTCATCTGAACAAATGAACACAGGAACATCAATCTCCACCATCCGCTCCATCTTCTCTTGGAGATCAACCACAAGATAACATCTTCATCTGAACAAATGAACACAGGAACATCAATCTCTTCCATCCGCTCCATCTTCTCTTGGAGATCAACCACAAGATAACATCTTCATCTGAACAAATGAACACAGAAACATCAATCTCCTCCATCCGCTCCATCTTCTCTTGGAGATCAATCACAAGATAACATCTTCATCTGAACAAATGAACACAGAAACATCAACCACAAGATAACATCTTCAGGTGAACTAATCTACAAGTATGATATGGTGTGCCAAGGAATTCTCCCTAAGAAAATTAACATATCTGCTTATGTAATTTAGTACTGTTTCTATTCCAAACTTTTCTCCTTTGACCTCATTTCTGATTTTATCTCTTCTTTTCTTCTTGTGTGGTTTCCAAGGCTCCATTGTGGGGAAAACAAGAACAGACCACTGCCTCTCCAGCCAGCATGACGTAGGAGTGGACTAAATGGGGGCTTCCTTCAAAGTCATTGTGCATCTGCCCGAGCAGCAAAGACCAATCAAATAAGCCAGTACAACGGATGAACATGCACAATTAAGGCCCTAGCACAAAGCCTAAGTCCAAACTGACAACAGCCAGGACTTTCCACTAAAGCTTACAGGTGGTAAACAAAGACGAAGAAATGATCTCTTCTGTTTACTCCTGCTGCCTTTCTCGGATATCTTCTTTATGTAGTAATTCAATCTAGAACTGGCCCTCAATTCATTGAGTTGTGAAATTCTAAATTACATACAAATAAAAGTCTGCCCACTTAGAATGTCCTGCTATGCATGCTGTACCGTACAAGACATACACTAATATAAGAGAAGGACCTAAAGCACAAGGTAGACGGAGAACAGGCTAACATCAGAGAAACTCTGCAACAGACAAGGTGGGATATAAGCAGAATCTTATATCTCTCTTACACTCAAAGTAATAAAGAGGAAGTGAAAACGAAAGCAAGTAAAAAAAGAAGGAGGAGGAAGAGAAGGAGGAGGAAGAAAAAGAAGAAGAAAAAGAAAGCAAATAAAAAACAAGAATAGGAGGAGGAGGAAGGAGGAGGAGGAAGAAAAGAAGAAGAAAAAGAAAGCAAATAAAAAAAGAATAGGAGGAGGAGGAGGAGGAAGAGAAAGAAACATCTAAAATCAAGGGTCCCCAACACCAGAAGCAACAGCTAAAGCATAAAGACCCACTTACCTGCTGCAGAAGGGACATGCCTCTCAGGGTAGAGATCTGTCAGAAACAAACTGTTCACCAATGTTGACTTGCCTAAACCGGATTCTCCTGGAAAAAAACAACAACCATAAAAAAGAATATAATAGAAACTGTCATTTTTATAGGTTTTCCCCTTCCAAATATGGCATACAGGGTTGTCAGTTGAATTACTTCAATCATGGCATGAAGAAGCTGCTGTCAGAGGAGTACTTGCTCGGCTTATGGTACAGACAGAAGCGCATGAACAGACTCAATAAACATGCTTAACCCTACCAGACCGCTGGCCCGATTTTCTGGGAATTTTCTAACCTGACGCTATACCGCTGGCCCCATTTTTCGGGAATTTACGTAGTATGTGAAAAATATGCGTCACAGACTAAAAATAACCAGCCAATCACCATCAGACTTTGTGGTTAGTCATTGGGAATGACTTCACACAAATGTTGAGATTTCTTTTTTGGCTTGATGTGGGAAAAAATTCAGAAAATTCTCAATGAAATGAGCGGCTTCGACAAAAAAGTCACGTAGGTCTAGGCTTTTCACAGTCCAACAGGTAATTGATACTCTGGTTAATTCAGACTATGAATACGTTCTTGAAGAATGCATTCCCAGTTGAAGTGACACAGTCAGTGAGAGCTAGAGTGAGGAGGAGAATTATGCAAATTATAGATTTAAAACTAGATCGATAGTAAGAAAAGGAGGCGTTTCCCTCAAACAGCAACATCTGGTGCTTACTTTGTGAAACAAGACTGATCCTCCTGGGTGGATTGGCATACAAAGGTGGAAGATTGGCGCTAGATGAAAGGTAAACCTACTTTTTACAACATCTCCAAGTTTTATCTTATTCTAACCACTTGTTTGCATGTAACTAATTTTTTTGTACATCATGTTGGTTTTTTCTTGTTAATGCCCAGGAGCTCAGGTTATAGGGACAGTTAGGTTCAGGGCCTTAGGTCTGGTAGGGTTAAGAAGAGCCAAACTGGCAAATTCTGACTAGAATAGTCTGACAGCTTTTAGAAGAGCCACCCTAAGACAAATATTTCCTGTAAACACTGGAACATGCCAGGGGAAAAAAATGAAAGAGCTAACAGACTGGCCGTATCAGCATTAGTTAGTGGAGAAAGAAGTATGGATAAGGCAGACATACTAAATAAACTGCATTCCAGAGACACTGACAAGAGAGTCGGAAATAATAAACTGCCTGAAATTAGTACTAAATGAGGACAAACATGCAGAAACTGGCTGAGAGGCAAAGTAATGAAGATGTGCCAGCTCCAACTGGGTATGTTGAACATAGAGGTACTGAGCTGGCTGCTACATCGGAGGACGAAGCTGAAATGGGTCATACCAATGTGCTAGGATATCGATTTGGATAACAAATAACAAGAAAAAAGTAATGCACGGTCATCAATTAAAAAAAAAATTAATGGCAGTATTTATGACAGATAGCTGTCGGTGAACAAACTCGCAGAACTTAACAAGGTGGCTGCTCAAAAGCGTACTGTACTCCAGTACGTGAAATCCAACTGCAGTATACCAGAAAACAAAACTGCAGATGAACTTGCTAAGAAAGGGGTAAAACAGGCAAACAGGAAGACAGTGCAATAAGACACTTTGAGAAGAAAAAAATGGCCATTCAGCCTATCAGAAGTGAACAGGGCCATAGATGACCATCACTTACTTGACCATCACGAACAGGTCATAATTCTACAACTCAGGATATGGCATAATAAGCAAGCACTGGCATCGTCTGAGTAGTAGTAAATCATTGTGCCCATGTGGAATGTATGTGCAAACTGCAGAACATGTCCTGCGAGAATGTCCCTTATACAGCCCATCAAGAAGGAAATACTAGACCAGTGAGTCAATACCATACTTAAAAGGAACTATAAAAAAAACATAGTCAATTTTATCACAAGAAGTCGCCCGTCGGTGTGGATCAGAGAGCGATCATAAGAAGAAACAAGTCCCCAACACCACACAGCATGGAAATCCAAGAAGAGGATGACCAGATGCATAAATTTGGCCTCTGTGAAGTAACGATCATGTTCTGTTCTTTTTGAGACCACTGATATTGCTACAAAAAAGCTGTACTCTCAAATAAATTATGATATTCCCATAGCTAAGATGTGATATTCTGACAAGTAATCTGCTATTCTCTTATCAATTAAGTAATATTCCTAGAGCAAATTTGTGATATTCCCACAGCAAAGGTGTGATATTCCGACAGCAAAGTTGCGATATTTCCACAGCAAAGTTGTGATATTCCCACGGCAAAGTTGTGATATTCCCACGGCAAAGTTGTGATATTCCCATGGCAAAGTTTTGATATTCCCACGGCAAAGTTGTGATATTCCCACAGCAAAATTGTGATGTTCCCACAGCAAAGTTGTGATATTCCCACAGCAAAGTTGTGATATTCCCAAAACAATACAATGAAAAGACTCATCCAGCTTCAGCACAGCTGAGGATGTTCGACAACACAGATGGACATCACAACAGCCAACATGTCAACTTACCGACAACCATAAGGGTGAACTCAAACCCTTTCTTGACTGACTTCCTGTGCACCTGATTGGGCAGGTTGGCAAAGCCCACATACCCAGCTTGCTCTGGGTTGACAAACTGTGAATGAGAGAAACAATGGCAGTGTTGAAAAAAATAAGTGACAACACACTGGACACTGTGACCCCAATCCATGCATGGTTTCTGCTTTTTTGCATTCAGTTTCGTATGCTCAGATCAGACCATCAGGTGGGTTGTCCTCTATGAACTCGCATGTCAGCTGGAGGTCTTTCATGGTTCCAAATAGCTTGCTCTGCACATTTGCTCTTGAGGCCAGGTGTCTTTTTGAAGTTGTAACTAGAGAGGGTAGGTCTGCAGAATGTGCTCATGTGTTTGTGGTCCTGTTTGACAGGCACACTGTGGGGACTGTACAATCTTTATTTTATGCATGTGGTAGTTGAGCCTGCAGTATCCTGATCATAGACGGAAAATTGTTCTATGTTGCTTTCTGTTGAGTCTGCTGATGGGGTCTTGTGGATGTTTACTGTTGTTTGTTCTCCACACAATTCCTTGTATTTTTCCTTGACAAGTGTAATCCATGGATAAAACATAAGGACCTTTCCACTGACACTGAAAAAGCATTCCTTGGTTAAAACATTGGATATCTCCTTGAACAATGATACAGCAATCCGTGGATAAAACACTGGCCTTTTCTAGACCCTGAAAAAGCAACATTGGATATTTCCATGGACACTAGTATAGCAATCTGTGGAAAAAACACTGGATATCTCCCTGGACACTGATACAGCAATCCAGGGACAGAACATTAGACATTTCCACACACACACTGAAAAACCAATCCGTGGATAAAACATTGGATATTTCCAACGACACTGAAAAATCAAGCCTATGATAAAACATTGAATATTTCCATGGATACTAATAGAAATCTCTCTGGATAAAACAGTAGATATTTCCCTGGACACTGATACAGCAATTTGTGGATAAAACATTGTCTGTGAACTGACAATAGGTGTTCTGTCCTAAAGGGCGGCTGGCTGAATGGTTAAGGATGCTAGGCTCTGATTCAGGAGACCCAGGTTCAAATCCTCAGTAAAGTTGTGGATTTTTTCTCCTAGCAGCAAAAATAAAATCCTAATCTGCACAGTGCAGGGTTACAGCACTAGCCATGGGGTCCAAAATTCTCAGGATCAAAGATCCCCTCTCCCCTCACACACATACATGGCATAAGTGGTAAACACAGACAGTAACGGCAGTACCATCCCGGACATCCAGGGGCATGCACACTAATGTTGTAAATGGCAATATTCTTCTTCCTAACTTTCTCCAGCTAAGATCCCCCCTCCCCTCACACATTCCACGAGTAGAGAAAAAATAGGATAAAAACAAGCATTTAACGGGGGGAGTTATGGTCAACATCACTGATGGCCGCCTAGTTGGTTCAAGTAAATTTTCCAGCCCATACACACCATGACTGGTCGTTCATTCATGCTTGCTAACCTTTCACATGCCCGACTCTCTGTTACAGGGGTGTCAGGTTGTGTTTTGTTATGTATATATAGCTCTTTATGTGACCGGCCAGGTACACTTTGTGTTTTACTCGTGAGAAGCCCGTGACATTGCCTAGATCTCATACTTTTAATACAACATGAATTTACTTTATCTGTCACCGTTAAAAACTGACAAGGAGAGGAGCATTGCTTTTCTGCAGCAACCAGGGCAGACTGCAAAATATGAACAGTTCTGAAACCACAGGATGTAGGCTGCAGTCTCTCAATGTGGGGTGGGGGTTAGGGCCAGAACTTCTGTGTTGTTAAAAGCAGCGGTTGCATTGTGTAATATAGAGCACACCCGGTGAAAAGGCCAAAGACAATGAAAGCGCCAAAGACAATACAACGTGACTCCCCCATAACTTGACTCACACGTGTGAAAAGTTAGCAAACATGAATGAACAGCCAATCATGGTGTGCCTGGCAACGTTACCAACGTAACCGTTGTGTGGTGCCCCAGTATAACTATGCTATATGGCTGTAGGGATGACAAGAGTATAGCTTGTCTGACTCTTCTTCCTCTTTTTAACATTCACCAGGGAAAAGTTATGGCTGTTCATCCACTTCTAGACTTCAGTCTAGTTCCTGAACTTGAATTTTGCGCGCGAATCTGTATTACAGATATGGTTTACTTGTATGCAGACTGTTGATTCCACGCCACTCAGAACGGATATCTTCTGACTTTAAAAATCCCCAATTAGTTGCATTTTTACATGTGCTTGTTAGGGAGGCTGTGGATCAATTCTCCCCCCCCCCCTTCCCCCACATGGGGCCGCGGAACCCACACGGGGAGCTGTCTGATTATTATCCTTGTAGTCCTCCAGAATGCAAATCTGGAGGGGAGAATCTTAAATACAAATATAGAAGTAACAAAGACATAGATAACACTCAACACTGACTCAGCCAACGGTACGTGACTTCCCCAACTCGTGACCTACTTACCCCGTTTTGTGTACCAGCCTGCGTCATTTTACAAACCTAGCGGTCTTTTCCCGTCAATCTAAGCCGACTGCCAAATGTACCCACAAATTAATCCCAACACTGCAAAGCTCCAGATTCGAACAAGTCAATGCTTTATCTACCCAGACTTAATGCTGTGTGTGCAGACAACCAGCACGGGAGAACACAGCAGGAGTCGGAGCGTAACAACCCAAAGTAGCAAGAACGTGAGCACTGGTGTTCACAACCTCCAGGAGAAACCGGGAGAGCCAGGGAACAGGTCTGACGTAATGTATACGGCTAGAGGTTCATCCTGGCCTGCCGACGTCGGGGAGAAGGTAAGGAGGCTAGACCCCGGGCTACTGGTGTGTTCTTTCGGCCTGGCTCCCTCCCGTGTTGATGGAAAGTATGTATGTATGCGGGTGTTTTGTGTCTGTCAGGTAGGGGATGTTTACAGATGGAAAAAGCTGGAGGAAAAGGGAGGAGAGAAAGAGAAGGTTATTAGTGATGTTAAAAGTAGTAATAAGAGGGGAAGTCAACAATCATCTAAACTGTTGACATAATTCTTCTTACACTGTCCACACTAACTGCTGTCCTCGCTTATTGTATTGTTATACTGTTGTCGTAATGCTATGAAAGTCTGAATCTAATCCCGCCATTTGTCTTCCTTCTGTCGCAGACGGATCATGGCGGTTCCATTACAAGTTTGCACCAGAGAGGAACAACGAACAGTGTTACGATTCTTCTGCGTAAAATAACATCGCAATAGGGAGGGGAGAGAGAGAGAGAGAGAGAGAGAGAGAGAGAGAGAGGGGGGGGGGGGTTTGAGAAGTTTAAAAGTTGTCGAAAAGGTGTAACACATGAAGAGGTCGTTGATTTGTCCCAGACTTAGACGTGCAACATGCGGTGGCAAAAAGTGGCTTCACGGCCAAGCGAACAACTTGTATTTGGAAGGAATAAGTAAACTCGTCGATTGTTGGGCAAAGTGCAGGGATAAAGGAAGGAGATTACGTAGAAACATGATGTGTATAGCGAAACCCTAACTCCATGAAAACAAATTGTAGAATGAAAAGTAGATATTTGTTTACTCTCCCTCGTAGCCTAGCAGCAGCATCAGTAACAGTAATAAGTAGCAGATGTAGTTTGAGTATCAGCAGTAGTAGCATGGATCTGCAACCACAGGCTGGTGAACTGACACATGACAAGACAGATGTAGTTAGAGAATCAGCAGTAGTAGCATGGATCTGCAACCACAGGCTGGTGAACTGACACATGACAAGACAGATGTAGTTAGAGTATCAGCAGTAGTAGCATGGATCTGCACCACAGGCTGGTGAACTGACACATGACAAGACAGATGTAGTTAGAGTATCAGCAGTAGTAGCATGGATCTGCACCACAGGCTGGTGAACTGACACATGACAAGACAGATGTAGTTAGAGTATCAGCAGTAGTAGCATGGATCTGCACCACAGGCTGGTGAACTGACACATGACAAGACAGATGTAGTTAGAGTATCAGCAGTAGTAGCATGGATCTGCACCACAGGCTGGTGAACTGACACATGACAAGACAGATGTAGTTAGAGTATCAGCAGTAGTAGCATGGATCTGCACCACAGGCTGGTGAACTGACACATGACAAGACAGATGTAGTTAGAGTATCAGCAGTAGTAGCATGGATCTGCACCACAGGCTGGTGAACTGACACATGACAAGGCAGATGTAGTTAGAGTATCAGCAGTAGTAGCATGGATCTGCACCACAGGCTGGTGAACTGACACATGACAAGACAGATGTAGTTAGAGTATCAGCAGTAGTAGCATGGATCTGCACCACAGGGCTGGTGAACTGACACATGACAAGACAGATGTAGTTAGAGTATCAGCAGTAGTAGCATGGATCTGCACCACAGGCTGGTGAACTGACACATGACAAGACAGATGTAGTTAGAGTATCAGCAGTAGTAGCATGGATCTGCAACCACAGGCTGGTGAACTGACACATGACAAGGCAGATGTAGTTAGAGTATCAGCAGTAGTAGCATGGATCTGCACCACAGGCTGGTGAACTGACACATGACAAGACAGATGTAGTTAGAGTATCAGCAGTAGTAGCATGGATCTGCAACCACAGGCTGGTGAACTGACACATGACAAGACAGATGTAGTTAGAGAATCAGCAGTAGTAGCATGGATCTGCAACCACAGGCTGGTGAACTGACACATGACAAGACAGATGTAGTTAGAGAATCAGCAGTAGTAGCATGGATCTGCACCACAGGCTGGTGAACTGACACATGACAAGACAGATGTAGTTAGAGTATCAGCAGTAGTAGCATGGATCTGCACCACAGGCTGGTGAACTGACACATGACAAGGCAGATGTTCTCAAGGTCCTTTGGGAACAAGCAAAGGAATCAGTAGAGAAAGAAGATCATTAAGGCCTGGAGAGAATGAGGCCCCTGGGTGTAACCAGAGGGTCTGGCCGGCTCACTGCACTCAGCGGAAAGGCAGGGCGAACATATAACTAGATTATGACTGGTACCTCAGTACTGGAACTCTGCGTTGGCTGCTGAAGATGAGGATGGAGCCTGCATGGGAATGCCACGAGTGCTGTGATGTCAATTCTTGACTTAACAACTCAAGTAGTAGCAGTAATACTAAACAAGCATTTATTTAGAGATCGCTGATCTCACTACGGCCCAAGGGCAAGACAAATTGCAAGACGACTAATTAAAGTCTTACTGAAATCAGATGTGTCTGTTAACAGAGCGCAGATATCACACCCTAGCTATAAACCACAACAGCATTCCAATGCCCTTTTTAAAAGCAATCCATCTTGTGCCTGTTGACAGGCCTTGTGCAGTAACATGCTTAGGGTGATATTCGTGACCTGTGAAGAAATTGCAGTCCCAACTTCATAGCAAACGGGTCTTCCCACAGTTGCTCCGTTACTGCACGGCCAGCTCCAGATTAATACTGGAGCTGGCCGTGTGTTACTGTGACGGGTCTTTCCACAGTTGCCCCGTTACTGTAACGGGTCTCCCCACAGTTGCTCCGTTACTGTAACGGGTCTCCCCACAGTTGCTCCGTTACTGTAACGGGTCTCCCCACAGTTGCTCCGTTACTGTAACGGGTCTTCAAACAGTTGCTCCGTTCCTGTATCAACTAAAACCACATGGAATAACCATCTGAAATAGACTGCAGTTTCAGCAAAAGCCAATAGCACATACACGCATTACATTATATGCATATGGCAACTGTCAGAAGTTCCAAAACAAAACAGGCTAACGCCAGAAATGCAGGTCATCGTCGACGAAAGTAGTAGCCGCAACAAATAAGTAACTGCATACGTAATTAATTGCGCAAGGCACCACATTAGACACAGCCCAAAAACATTCCAAATGAAATCCGCACCTTACGGTATCCTTCTTCGCCTTCACCGGCTGTAAACTGGGCGGACAGTTTTGGTTGTTCGCCCACTTCTGGACTTTAGACCTGTTCCAGAACTTGGAGTTTTGCGTGCACATCCGTTTTATGGATCTGGCGTTATTTTGCATGCAGACTGTTGTTCCTCGTTTCTCAGACAAATGCACTCCAATTTTGAAGGAAACACCCTTAATACGAAGACTTTTACGACATGCTTCCAGTGCGTCTGTTCCCCTCCCCCCAAATTGAGCCGGATAAACTAATCCCGCTGGCGGATAACAAGGGCCGAACGCAGTCCAGGGACGGTGGGGTCGCGACCTTAGCGATCGCATAAGGGGAAATTACTCTGGCGTAGTGTGAAGTGTGCTCACTTAAAGGGAGGCGATCTTTAAAGGCACACAACCATCGTGCACGTCGACGTGAGCAGAGCCGTCACAACACTTCAGATCTCAGGAATGCCGGCGCTCACCGTGGGAACCCACCACCTACTTGGCTTATCAGCGCCCAGCATCGACAGCTTTGAAAATCACCCCCCCCCCTTCTTCTCTCTCTTTCTTTAATATTATTTCAAATACATTTTACTTTTATCTGTCATTCCAATAAAAATTATTACTGCGCACTTAAACAGGTTTAAGCCCGCCCTTATAGATTTCTTGGTGGTTGAGGTGTCTGGCAAGCAGGGAAGTACACATTCGCGCACTGACGCACGCATATAAACACTGACTGATATGTTCAACGATAGATGTACTCAGTCTCTCACACACACACACGTTGTAGAATCTATGATGAGGCTGTGAAAGCACAACCAGGTGCTGACCAAGGATCAGCTCTGTATTCTTGGGACAGGCGTACAGTTTAAAATAATAACCATTACGATTGGACGAGGGAAGCAACTCTAGAAAAGAAAAGCTATTTCGTCTAGCTGGTGTTGTCTTTCCTTACCTAAATAACCCCCCCCCCCCCCCTCCCTACAAATGGCTACGGAAATCCGGGCGGTGCTGGGGTGACCACGATATCTTCTAGGGCTGTAAACGGGACACACCACCAGTAGTGGGTTTACGCATAAGCTAACTAGCTTAGGGCCTCACAGTCTGCAGGGACCTCAAACATGCCTTTTTTTCACAAATGAAATTTTTCTTTAATATGTTTTTCATTCTGTGATTAAATTCCTCAGAAATGTTCTAATACTACCGCAGGGTTTTAGTTATTCAAATGTGAAGCCTAATACATTGAATGAAATCATCAGCTTCATCAGAGCTTTATACAACTTAGGGCCTCATCATCAAGTCTGATAGGAACAGTTTGTGATTCATTGCTTGTTGGACAGCAATGGCTACTGTCATTCCGTGTCGATGAATGTCGTCAATCCATCATCTTTCAGCTCTTGCTTTCACGTCATCCCCCATGTAGGTTCCGGGGCCCTATTATAGGGAAGACAAGAACAGACACACTGCCGACCTACTGATGCCTGCATGTCGTAAGAGTCGACTTATTAGGAGCTTCCTTCAAAGTTGGAGAGCATCTGCCTGAGAGGCAAAAAAAAAGTGAAATTATTTTAAACAATCCCTTTTGCGATTCTGATGTCAATTCATAATGAATAAGTCCATCGGTCTTATTGTCGTTCTTTTCTCTACCCCTGGGATGCATCGCAGCGTCAGGGCAGTCAGGGATCTCTGGAACAGGCTCTTCTGTTCAAAGCAAGAGTGGCAAACATGTCAAAAATAGGAGTGGTGCGGCGTTGAGAAATGACGGTTGACTCTACCCACGCCCATCTTCAGGGCTATTTATATCTAAAGATGGCCGTGACTCTTCCAGACCTAGGTGACCCCACGTAGACCCAGGACTTACTGGCCTTTATCAGACACCGCCCGCTGGCCACGGGTGGAAACCTGAGCCATATCACGTCGCCCGGGAAACCGCTGGACGCTGACTAGATGTCCATGGCAACTTCCGGCAGACGCTGATGTCAATGGTCGGCATGTGACCCCTGCCGGGCAGGGATTCGAACAGATAATCTGACACGTCAGTTACAAATGGCTGATACTGCTAGCTGCTGGTGGCAGTAATCCCAGACTGAGAGCACTCTATCGCTTCTTCCTCGCACGCCCTTTGACAGAATGTTTACAGCTAGGCAGTGATATCTGCGCTATCGGCCCGTAACATCCGATTTTAGGAAACCAATAAACAGTAGCTTTCCCCCGAGATATCTGTAAGGAGGGCTGAGGGTCTATTCTACCCTGCCCCATCCCGCGAACATATCCCCACCCATAAACAGGACCCCAGAACGCACACATTCTGGTGCAAGAAAATATGTTCAGATTGTGTACACACATGTCGGCGTCTGTGGATTGGGAGTTACGAACGCGCTTTGTAATGCCGGGGTACCGGGTTCGATCCCAGCTGCGGGCCTTGCGCCTTGCGTTGGTTTCGACAGTGGTATCAAGAAAACCGACCGTCCAGAAAGGAACGGCAAACTACTGGACGTTAACTTGCCTAGGAAAACAACAACAGCCAAAAAATGATAGGGTTGGTTCTGTAATGTCCTGTAAAGGATACGCAACTAACTAACTGTGTACATACATAATGTGGTGGTTGATTCCCTGTTTCTGCGTTTATTGTTTCTCTCTTCCTCGATCGATTTAACAACTCCTTCTGCCCCCACAACTGCGTTGACAAATTGGAGGGGAGAAATGGTCGAGCTTCGTGTAACGCTTTCGTTAGGTGATTAGCCGTTCCGCGGAGAGACGGGGCCCTATGGGGGATGGAACCTGGTGCCAGGAAGTCGATCCTCTTATCTGAACCTATAACATTCTGCTCCAGCTAGCTTTTAACCCACTAATCCACTTTCTCAGTTGAGTCAGCTCGTGGTACAAGGAACTATTCCTTCATTAACCCACAGTAAAGTACAGTAAGTCTGGGTCTCTTTTCCACGTCTTCGGGCCTACTGGGCATATAGGGCTAGACCTATATATTTCATGGACCGATCCGCATTTGGTGAGTGACGTGATCAGCATCACGCCGGCCGCATTTACTTCCCAGGACAGTACCTGGTATACACTCAAGGCTGGGTCGATAGGGAAGCCAAGTTAATTCAATAGAAAGTCAGGCTCTGTCACGACCCGAACCCACGACCTTCCGATCGGAAGGCGAGCGTCTAGCCGCTACACCATGGCGACTCCCACATTAAGCAAACCTCAGTTGATTGAACTGCTGCTCCTAAGAACCACTGACTGACCTAACAAACCAACATGTCCTAGAGACGCCAACTGACATCTGTCTTCTCCAACTGGTAGTTCATTGGTGTCAGTAAAGATTCCCTTTTACGTCTTAGGCGCATCGAGCATGTGGGAAGAGCACCCCATATTTTTTATAGACCAATCGGCACTAGGTGGGTAATGTGGTCAGCATTACGCCGGCCGTCTTTACTTTCCCAGGACAGCCATCCTGGTACTCATTTTAGGCTGTGTCGCCCTGCGACGCCCGTACAATGATAAAAACCCACGCAGGCCAGCAGTGGGTTTCGATCGCGGTACGTTGGAATTACGAGTCGGACTCGCAACGCCTAAGCCACGGACGCCGCAGTACATTGGTGTGGACTACACAAAATTCATGAAACAAGGGGAAAGCAAGCGAAAACAAAAATTAAACCCCCCCCCCCCCCACAAAAAATTTACCAATAAATAACCATTAAAAAAATATTTCCATTTCACAAACAGCGAAAACATTTAATGACAGAAAAATAAAAGATACTGAAACATAAAACACAAAAAAAAACCCAGAAAAACGACTAATATTCTGACTAATTTTTTAAAATAATAAACCGAGCAAAAAATGGACAAAGATACATAAAAGATCTAAAGCAAGGAATAGAAAGACTGATATAGTGGGACCAAACGGACAGGGACAGATTTAAAGGAGATAAGAGGACAGAAAGAAAGAAATAGAAAGGGGTAAAATGGCGACACAAATCAAGAGACAGACAAGAATTAAAGAAAGGAAGGAAAAGACAAAAACAAAGAAACTCACAGATGGACTGGTGAACAACTTGCCAAAACTCATTTCTCCTGCCTTGGACCTGATTCTGAAGATCTTTCTGGGCGTCTTCTGACCGGAGGAGTCCACAGAGGACTCGGACGTGTCGCTTCCAGCAGGACCTACAGAGGACTCCCTCGAGGACCCGTTGACGCCGTTCCTGGGTGTCTGGTTAGCTTCCCCGCAAAAGTAACTCATGGCTGTGAAGCTCACAACAGCCAAAACGTAACACCACTAAAGAGTATCGTTCCTCAGAGCAAATGTTTATTCTAGACAGCTAATCAGTCACGGACTAATGTTTGTTCTGAGCAGCTCATCAGTCCTAAACAAATGTTTATTCCGAGCAGCTCAGCAGTCCCAGACAAATGTTTATTCCGAGCAGCTCATAAGTCCCGGACAAATGTTTATTCTGAACAGCCCATTAGTCCTAAACAAATGTTTATTCCGAGCAGCTCATCAGTCCCAGACAAATGTTTATTCTGTATAGCTCGTAATTAACGGACAAATGTTTATTCTGTATAGCTCGTAGATTAACGGACAAATGTTTATTCTGAACAGCTCATTAGTCCAGGACAAATGTTTATTCCGAGCAGCTCATCAGTCACAGACAAATGTTTATTCTGTATAGCTCGCAATTAACGGACAAATGTTTATTCCAAATAGCCTATAATTAACAGACAAATGTTTGTTCTAAACAGTTCATAATACCCAGACAAATGTTGACTCTGAACAGCTCAGAACTACCAGACATATATTTATTCTAAACATGTCGTAACTCCCGGACAACTGTCTATTCTAAACATGTCGTAACTCCCGGACAACTGTCTATTCTAAACAGTTCGTAACACCCAGACAAATGCTGATTCTAAAAAGTTCATAATTCCCGGACAAATGTTTATTGTGAATAGTTCGCAACTCTCTGGAAAACCTTTATTCTAAAGAGATTCCGGTCCCGAACAAATGTTTATTTTCATTAAATCTCTCACCTTTCGAAACCACTGAAAAAAGAACATCGAACTTTGCTGCAGAAGAACATTTCTGAACAGAAATCGCGGATCACGAAGACGAAGGAACAAATACGGAAATTCCCACAAGATCTAGAAACTCGCTAGCGCGTGCAAATCACCACATTAGGGAAAAGTGGACTACACCAATCACAGTATGGGTTCCGAAGCCCCATTGTGGTTGAAACATAATTGACCCACTGCCCCAAAGAGTATGCTGACTTACTAGTGATGTTTCCCTTCGTGGATTCTAAAGCCCTATTGTAGGGGGGGGGGGGGCACGCTGTCAGGCCCACTCCCAGCCCCAACAAACGTCAAAGATGTCGTAAAAGGCGACCTAACTAGTGACCTTACCTTCGACGCGTCGAAGTGCATCAGCATAAGAGGCGAGGAATGAACAGTGTGCATAAAATACGCCAGATATGTAAATGGATGTACAAGCAAAACTCAAGTTCTGGAACAAGACCTAAGTCCAGAAGTGGACGAACAACCAGAACTTTCCGCCAGAGTTCACAGCCAATGAACGCGAGGAAGAACACTCGTTAAACATGAACAAACTGTTGGTCCCAGAAGAGACGTACCGCTGTTGTGAGTCCCCGGTTAGCACATACTGTTTTTTAACGTGGACTGGCTTCTCGGCGCTCTAGAACTCGGGCTGGTCAGAGTTGACTGTACTTAATGAATTAGAACAGTGGCTCTCAACCTTCATAATGTGGCGACCCTTTAATACAGTTTCCTCATGTTGTGGAGACCCTTTAATACAGTTTCCTCATGTTGTGACAACCCTTTAATACAGTTTCCTCATGTTGTGGCGACCCTTTAATACAATTTCCTCATGTTGTGGAAACCCTTTAATACAGCTCCTCATGTTGTGGAAACCCTTTAATACAGCTCCTCATGTTGTGACAACCCTTAAATACAGCTCCTCATGTTGTGGCGACCCTTTAATACAGTTTCCTCATGTTGTGACAACCCTTTAATACAGTTTCCTCATGTTGTGACAACCCTTTAATACAGTTCCTCAGGTTGGCGACCCCTTTAATACATATGTTGTGGTGACAACCCTGTTACTGTGGCAGCTCCTCATGTTGTGGCGACCTTTTAATACAGTTTCCTCATATTGTGACAACCCTTTAATACAGTTTCCTCATATTAGGGAGACCCTTTAATACAGTTTCCTCATATTGTGGCGACCCTTTAATACAGTTTCCTCATGTTGTGGCAACTTCCAACCACACAATTATTTTCGTTGCTACTTTATAACTTCAGTCCATTTGTGTTTTCCGATGGTCTGTGGTGACCCCTGTAAAATGGTCGTTCGATCCACAAAATGGTCACAACCCACACAATGGTCACAACCCACACAATGGTCGTCCGGTCCACAAAATGGTCGTCCGATCCACAAAATGGTCGTCCGATCCACAAAATGGCCGTCCGATCCACAAAATGGCCGTCCGATCCACAAAATGGTCGTCCGATCCACAAAATGGTCGTCCGATCCACAAAATGGTCGCCCGACCCAAAGGTTGAGAACCGCTGAATTAGACAGTCAGAGAAAACATCGAGCTTCAGACAGGTCCCCTGGAGTTGCCGTGGTGTAGCGGCAAGACACTCGCCTGCGGATCGGAAGGTCGTGGGTTCGGGTCCAGACGCAAGCTGGAGCCCCCCCCCCCCTTCAAAATGACCCATACCTAAAAAGGTATCAGGTAAAGTCTCGAGAAACAAAGAGACCGGTGTCATGTTGACCCTATTACCCAACGAGTGCCGACTGATATATAAAACACTGGTCTAGTATTATACGCTTGAACATAAAAAAGTCCTTGACCCATTAGGGTCGTGGAGGTGTACTGATGGAAGCACTAGCGCATACAACCCGCCATCTTTCTCTGTCTTTGGCTTGGTGAATAAGTTTATAATAACTTAGTCCTGTCCATTTCTTAATGTTGTCATTCCACATTCTTCTTTGTCCTCCTCTTCTTTGACCATCCAATACAGTGTTCCTTGTCTCTGTCTTTGGCTTGGACAATAAGTGTATGATAACTTTTTTTTTTTTTTTACATTTTCAAAGTGTTTATTATAAATGTATGCAGCGCTGATTAATGGATGGATCAACGAGTGCTCTATGAAATGAAACAAAAAATTGTCACATAAGAACAGCTAAGTAAAAAATCCATGCTGTAATGGCAATTTAAATAAGCAAGCGCTCAATGTTTCGCTGAATTGACTGTATCTGGTTTCTCAGCTGGGATCCTTCCTTCTGTATGACTGAGCAGGCAATCACAGGACGTGACACACCGCAAGCTCTTCCCAAAGCTTGTTTTGATCGTACGAAAATATACGGTACGTTTTTGTCCTCGCATAACAAGGGCAGGTGCAAGAGAATTTCAATTGGCTCAGCATCTGCTGTTAAAACAATGAATTCTGCCTGTCCTCGATTCAGCGTTTTAGTGGCTTCATTGGCCCCTTTTTTCAGCTGCTTATAATTGGAAGCCTGCTGTACAAGCTCCAAAATCTGCTCCGTCAGTGTCTGATCTGCCAGAGGGTATGCTTTGCTGCTTATTTCTTCAGCCATCGTTGTTAAGTAGTCTTTAAATTTAAAATAGATGTCTTTTTAATTTAACAACCTCTCTGCGAAATCACTTCGCTTCACTGAGGAGATTGTAAAGGTGCGATGGACTGCTCAAACCAAGCTTGAGTGTATGATAACTTAGTCCTGTCCATTTCTTCATGTTGTCATTCCACATTCTTCTTTGCCCTCCTCTTCTTTTGACAACCCCCTAGTGTTCCTTGAAGTAGAATCTTTGCAATCGAATCATGTCTCACCACGTGCCCAAACCAAGCTATATGCTTGAAGTTAGGACGTGTCACCACAAACTGGGCAGGCAGTGTTCCCGTGTCACATTCACACTAGTCGATTCCCACAAGATGTAACTGTTTCGCTGCTCGGTTTAAGTGCCGCACTTGAGCGGGGCAATCCTGTCACTTGGCAACTTTCAACAACAGCGATGCCCCCGGCAGGCAAGAAACATTCACACAGAGGAAAGAAAACAGACACATACATACATGAGTATATCAACGAAGTTGTCAAGTCAAGGTCCCTTTTGCACTTTAGGCTTATTGGACATACACGGCTAGACCAATATTTTATAGACTGATCGGTACTCGGTGTGTGATGTGGTCAACGTCATGACGGCCGCATTTACTTCCCAGGACTTTACCCCGTATCCATTTAAGGCTGCGTCAACCTGGAGGGCCAAGGTCATATTTAAAGAAAAAAAAAAGTCCCTTTTCCCCCAGGACCCGAACCAAGCTATATGCTTGAAGTTAGGACGTGTCACCACAAACTGGGCAGGCAGTGTTCCCGTGTCACATTCACACTAGTCGATTCCCACAAGATGTAACTGTTTCGCTGCTCGGTTTAAGTGCCGCACTTGAGCGGGGCAATCCTGTCACTTGGCAACTTTCAACAACAGCGATGCCCCCGGCAGGCAAGAAACATTCACACAGAGGAAAGAAAACAGACACATACATACATGAGTATATCAACGAAGTTGTCAAGTCAAGGTCCCTTTTGCACTTTAGGCTTATTGGACATACACGGCTAGACCAATATTTTATAGACTGATCGGTACTCGGTGTGTGATGTGGTCAACGTCATGACGGCCGCATTTACTTCCCAGGACTTTACCCCGTATCCATTTAAGGCTGCGTCAACCTGGAGGGCCAAGGTCATATTTAAAGAAAAAAAAAAGTCCCTTTTCCCCCAGGACCCGAACCCACGACCCTGGGATCCACAGGCAAGTGTTAGGCGCTTCACCACGGCTGCCAAATTTAATGAACAAAACACAGGCAAGTGTTAGGCGCTTCACCACGGCTGCCACATTTATGAACAAAATACAGGCAAGTTTTGGGCGCTTCACCAGGGCTGCCACATTTATCAACAAAATACAGGCAAGTGTTAGGCGCTTCACCACGGCTGCCACATTTATGAACAAAATACAGGCAAGTGTTGGGCGCTTCACCACGGATGCCAAATTTATGAACAAAATACAGGGAAGTGAAAAACAGGAAGTACAGCGAAACAAAATTATCAACTGGAAAAACACGAAACTCGATTTATAAATCGGGGAAAAATACTGCAATTACTGTCTTTACGGTTTCTTATTATACCACTTTTTCCCCCCCCCCCCGATG